TAGTTCAAAGGTGAACTGTTTGCATTAGGTGCCTGAACTAACTCAGTACTTGTGGGTTCTGCCTAAAGAAGCGGAGGGAACTCATTTCTCCCACTGTGGTGGTGCGGGCCTGTGCAACTGGGAAGGCTAGGGCTGCTGCCGTTGGTGTGTTGCTGCGTAGAACCACCACAAAGGATAGTTCTGGGGTCATCTGGCTGGAAGAGAATACCCTTGGGTGCCCTTGACTTTCTCTTCCACAACTCCTCCTTGGTATGCCTGCAGCCTCGATAGATGGAAGGATGAGGTGCCTCTCAGTTCACCAACTTGCAGTTGTAGCATGTCAGTATCGATTCCATATTGCCCTAGTCTGGGCATTTCTTGAGAAGGTGACCACCCCAACACCACATACAAGAGAGAAGTTGCTTGCAGTGAGCCCAGACATGGCCGAATTGTTGGCAGTTGTAACACTGCATGAGACCACTCTGGGCTCTGTAACACCTTTACTCTGACTGCAATACAGCAAAGTCACATCTGTTTGAATATCTTTTGGAACTTTGACATCATAGGATGAGAGGAATATTAACTGTGGTTGTTCCTTCTGCAGGTGATTGACAGGTAGTAGAATTTATTTGGCGCTAATAACATGAAAGCCAAGGTTCCCACCACATATGGGATGTCCTCTGCAGGAGCTGAGGCTGAAAGATGCCGTATCTCAGCCTTTATAGCCTTCTGGCATTTGGGATAGGTGAAGTATTGAGTTTACTGGTCTCCAAGTGAGATCGTATGGCTGAAGAATCCACGACTTATGTGACAAACTCTGGTCCTGTCTCTTGTGTTACAGAACTCAAAATTGCCTTTCAGCGAGCCCTTCAGTTACCTTTGTAATTGTATCAGGTTGGCCTGAGAGGTTAGTATAATTGGAAGCAGCCTACCTGCCTGGCTGGATGGCGCCTAATGCTGCTGACACTCGGTGGTGTCGTCTAAGTGGTCAGCTTCAATAGGAGAAATTTGGGGTGGGAAGTTCAGTCTTTAATGGCAATTGGAAGTTGACACCCATGGTGGATGTTGTGCGGTTTGGGCTCTTTTGTCATCTTTCCTCGCAGAATTCCTCAATGGATGGAGGTGCAGTAATCGTGGTCTTGGCTGTTACCTGTTTGAGGACTGCTGTCAAGTCATGTAGCATCTATGTGTACTATTCAAGTCACCGATCAAACCATCTTACATGCAACAAGTCTTTCTAAAACATTGGTCCCATCTATATGCTTGTGTATCCCATGGTGATGGGTAGTTCTTCCAATTGAGATGTCTCTCTCTCTTACAGCTTTATTATAACTTGTATGTGTACGCTAAATACAGTGTGCTATACAGCTGCTTTTCCTTTTAGAATCTGGTGGAGATTCCTTCTGGTCCCCCCATGTTTTGGATGATCAGAGTCCATTTTGGACATTCGCTGACTGATGCAGGGGTACATCCCGCTAGGCGGGCAATGGTAGTGAGAACCCCATGTACAGGTCCCATGACAGCATTGGTATCAGGATGTTGTTGTGTAGTGTTTTCATATTCCAGCCTCAATGATTCAATCAGGTTTGACCAGAGCTTCTGAAATTCTGAGGTGGGTACATTAGCCATCATATGACTTACCACTTCTATTACTATTGAGCCATGCAGTGGCTCCGGTATGACGTCATGGGCTTCCAGCCCCTTGATCGAGGTTCTTAAACTTATCCTCCACCCCATCCCGATGCGGGACTGGGTCACGTAGTGTTGCCCTCTCCCCTCCTTTCTACCCCTGGGAGCCTTGCTTGGAAGTTAATTTGAGTTCGGAGTTCAGTTCTGGTTATGGATCCATAGGGCCTTGCTCGCGGCGCCGAGCCAGCCGGAGCGACTGTCAAATTCCTGTTCGGCTGGGAGTCCAAATTTGGTTTCGGCAAGTACTGGGCTGGTTCGCGGCAGACGAGATCGCCCACAGTCGCCCGTTGTTGGGTTTGTAGGACGGCGGCGACTCGTACCAGTTTGGTTAAATCTGTTTTTATAATTTATATTGTGTATTTAATTTAGACTCAGCCTGTGGCCCGGCTATAATGTAGTAGTTATGTTTTCATGCAACCAAGGCAAACTGTTGTGCCAGTAAATATGGGCCATTCTGCCCGAGTTAGATGCCGCTGTGTGCGAGCATGTAAATGTGCAGTTAGTTCAGTTGTTCTGTTTAATTTCTGTTGTGTATATTAAATTCTGTTATTTGTTAATATATTGATTGCCATCATTTGTAACTACATTTACCACGCTGCTAGCTTGGATCCCTTACTCTAACTTAGGGAGCGTGCGAGCACAGCACGAGAGCCATATGACGGATCAACGTTTCCCCCTCCGATTGAGGAAGGGTAGACGGAGCCGAAAGGTGCCAGAGAGTGACGGTGCTGTGGTAGCCGACGTAAGACGGCCCACTATAATTGTTTATTATGCACAGGAACCACACAAAGCACTTGATCTGCACAGGCCCAAGACCAGGCCACAGACTTTACTCACAATGGTTGCAACAAACAGGGAATGGCCATGAATTCACTAGGCACAGTTTCCTCCGTTAACACTGCGCAGAAACTGTCCGCTGTTCATTTTTCTGACTCTCACTAACACACTGATTCATTCTGCTATTGTATCCTCAACTACCTTTCTAACCTGCCACTCACTAACTCACTAACTCCTCATTATATAACCTTGGCAAGGACAGCACAGAGAACATTTCATACTCTACTGTTGCATGTTCATTCATTGCTGCAGACACATGCTTACAGTGACACTGCCTGGCAACGGCTGCATCTATTCGTTCCACTACTCCAGATTTCAGCCATCATGTCACAATATATATAACACACCAGTGGATCCACTTAGCTTACTTGTAAATTTGTGCTAAGTATGTGCTACATTAACTCTAATTATAATAAACACTGCCTTAGACAAGTACTGTTGGAAATAGTGCTGTTGACAAAAAAATACAATATCTACAGTGACTTACACAATGGGGTGGAACAAAATATGAACAATAAAGCTGTACTTTTCACCATAAAGTGGAGTTCCCCCGAGTCTCTGAACTGTTTACTGCAGTCTAAACATCTGTTTTACTATGCATGTTAATGTACTGTTTATATTTACAAAATCTTAAGCATGCACTATCAATATATGCTGGAATAACCAACATAATGATCAAGATATTCCACATATCTGAAATAAAATTATGATACTGATTAAAAATCATCACCACCTTTTGTAGGGTTTGGATGAGAACTATTACAGATACTAAAAAACAGAGGATCTTCCCAAACTTTAACTTCTGAATATTTCTCATACATAAATGTTTTAATCACATAGTTGTAACTCATAGCTACAGGCTGAAACCTAATAGCATGGTAAGGAGTTTCACTTCTGCAGTTTCAGAATAGACACAATTTTAGACACAAACAATATCACACACATATAACTCAGTAAATCCTTCAAATTAAACAAAAACAGACAGATCAAGTATTTAATACAAAGGACCTGCAAAACTGCAGGTGAAAAAACAGCCCCTTTTACAGTTCGAAGAAGTTCAATACCTTTCCCCCCACCAGTGAATTTCTACTGTAATGGGAGTTATTCACATAAACTCTGAGTCACACAATATAAACACAAAACAAATGGTAACCTTAGCAAATACAAGAAAGGAGGTTACTATACATTGCATCTATTCATATAATCTTTCATTTACCATTAAGGTTTCAATTATAATAACCTCCTTCTCTGCAGAAAATTTTTCTTTCATTGGAAATGATCACATATTGTACACTTATGGATAAAATAGTACTTCAATAATTACTCTGCTCCTGTATTTAACATAATACATACATACCATATGTCTGCATATAGCAAAATAACTATATATTTATTTTGAGATATTGGGTTTTCGGACTTTATCCATCATCCTGGTTTTTAAGATAACTAATAAAAACACGACCAATTGTAGAGTGATTGAGGCTAGCTCTTTCTAAGGGACCCAACAGAATAGGTGTTTTTTCCCTCACCTGAGGACGGAAACAGATCCAGTTTCCGAAACGTCGTGTTTTTATTAGTTATCTTAAAAACCAGGACGATGGATAAAGTCCGATAACCCAATATCTCAGTGTGTTATACACCATCATCAGAATCCTACAGTAACTACTTATATATTTATTTTATATTTGTATTTAGATTAAATACTGTATTAGTGTCTAGACAGGCACACAGTAGTGTAGCTGGTTGAGGCACTATGCTACAAGACCGAAGGTCAACAGGATCAAATCCCAATGAGGTCACTGGATTTTTCAATTGACCTAATCCTTCTAGCCGCATTATGGTCCTGGAGTCGACTCAGCCTCCAACACAAATGAGTACCAGGAATTTTCCTGAGAGGTAAATGGGCAGCCAGCATGTAAGGCTGACAACCTTACCGCCAGCTGTGAGCCAACTCTAGAAGATGTGGGAGCCTCGACCCTCACACCCCTATGGGCCTTCACGGCCTGTTACAGGGACACCTTTTCCTTTTTGTTACCTTTGTTAGTGTTTAGAAACACGCTAAATCCTTTCTACTCATGTTGTATATTCTATAATATAAAAATAAATTCTATTTTTAGTAAACAACTTCATAAGAAATTCGTTACAAGATAATGAAACATAAATAGAATTTACTTACTTAATTCAGATTCTCATTTTTGTTCTTGTTACTATTCAGAATGTAGCATTATTGTTCCAAATGTCAAGGTCATATATTCAGACATCCTACAAAAAGTGTCATGATTACGACCTTGAACAATAATTCTGTTATTTCAAAACAAATGAAATGGAGAGGGGCAAACGAAGGAGGAATCTTTGTCTAGCCAGCAAGATCACCTATTTGCACCAATATTACCTCTACAACCATAGCTTCTGCTACTGCTGCTACCACCACCGCCGCAGCCGCCGCTACCGCGAATGCAATATCAATCCCTATATAACAAAACAAATTTACCAACCTTGGTATCGTAATGCACTTTGTAGTAGGGTCCTGTGTTGTAATAGCTTTCTCTAATTCGTCTAAACCACCAGTCTTTTTCAGTTTCTTCACTAAACTTTTTACGGCTTTTTCACTCCACTTATCCTCCCCTTCACCTTTCTTCCACCCCAAAAGTCGTTTTACGATCGGAGGTGTAAACGGAAGCATAGACGTCATAGCTACATGAAATCCAAATATTTCTGTAAACTCCTAACTTCTATTGTAAAGTAATAATATGTGTATAAGAAAACTACGAGTTTAGTAAACATTAGAACATTTCACGCCATTACCCTATTCACACTCCACACACAAAACGACATGTTCGTCACCTCACAAACGTACCAGACATGTCCCTTGCTCCCCGAAAACGTAGTTCGATATGGAACGCATCCTTCTTAATCAGTTTCACAGAGTAAGAGAGCCATGTACGTTAACATATATTTCAGTCGATAATAATGTAGATGACGGCAATAGTTTTATGACATTATAATTTTATGCATGTTTTGGCACACACGAAAGAAAAATGTACATATTACTCCGCGAATGGTAAGTTACATATAGTAATAGTTGCTAGATGACAGCACCACGGTACAGCCGAACGTCACATCGAGAAGAGTGCGGTCTGCTGGGTTGCGCACAGCATGGCTCAGCGCGAGTCTGATGTTTCGGAGAAACATACAGCCTCCATCTTCAGGGTCGATAGTAAAGTAAGCAAGAAAGTAGCAGAAGACAGTGCTCTTCACATCTGCTACCATGAGAGCCACAAATCCAGCATAACTAGAATTTATGCTCAATAATAATATATTTGTATCCGCAAGACTCCCATTATAATGTGTCCAGCAAGTTTTAATGCAAATGCTTATCCATTAGTTAAATATCTGAAGCATGCTACCATGTGTGAGTTTGAATACATAGAAGTTCTTGGAGATTTCTTCTCTTCGTAGATTTTCTACCCTGCCGACTGTTTCCATAATTCCGTTCTACTCGGTATTATTGTAGTTAACACAAAGTAACTGGCGCAAATGTATGTTTGTTTTTTTCGTGACAAAGTGCAAGTCCGAACATCTGTATTAAAGAAAACTTGGTCATTATTCGTGCTGTTCTCTCGCTTGCATTTAATAAACGAATGGCTGCATGACAATGGAAACACAAATTATCTTATTGATAGGTCCGCACCCAAATGTGACTACAGCTAACATATTACACAACATTAGCGTAAAGATGTTTCAGTTTGGTGTGAAGCGCATGTGCCTTCCAGACACATTCTTTGCAAGTTCACATCCCTGTTGACATTGATATTCGGGTAGATGGGCTTTAAATCTTACTAGCATCCAATCAACACCAGTGAAGGGCGTAGTCATAAAGTCAGCGTTACATAAAATCGATCGTTCGCAAAGCTGGTCCGCAGTAGATATTGCACTGTTCGGGGGCATGAATTAATGTCTTTCGCATTATTTACCACCACTAGACACTTCAGCTTCTTAAAAAGAAATTTATGATAAGAACGAAATAATGTAAGCAAAAATATAATCCAGAAGACAAAGTTTGTCGAAATCTTCAAAGGGGTTGTGATCATTAAAACTTGTTCGTCGCAAATTAATATATAAGAGGCCAAAAAGTTGCTCTCATGTCAACAACGGCGTTCATTTTCCGACTTTCATTCTTTCGGCTATTTGTGTACGCGCACTTGTCTGAGGGTCGCCGAAAGTCCGTTCGAAAAGTGAAACAAGTCTCTTAAATGCTGTTATACGCCGGCAAGGAATCAGAGATAATTGTAGTTCGACTTTGACTCTTTGGTTGAATGAGTGGAAGGAGAGTAGTATCACTTTGATATGGCTCAATGACAGTGAAACATTCCTCCACTTCGCGATATATACAACCGAACATTTAGGTAATATTCGACGTGAGATATAATTGCGGTGTCCAAAAATTCTCATCATTATCGACCATTCACATACTTCCAGTGAGCACAGATATCTCCTCCAAACGTCAGACACAAATTCCTGGGAAATATTCTAATCGGCTAGGGTGTGCTGGATGAACTCCACTTCTAATCGTAAAATTCGATAGTCGTCATCTCACGGCCCCAGCAGCAGATAAAGTGGAGAACCTTTTCGACCGGCGACTCTTATCCCATAGGCCAATTTGGTGCCAAAAGCCCATTTACTTAACTGCATTCTCTCAGTGACAATATGACACTTCTCTGTCATTCTTGAAATTTTGTTCCATTTTGATGATCCGGCATTGGTCAAAAAATTGTACAGCGTTCTTTTCGTCAACGAATTTTCGAAACAGTAGCTGAACATTAATGGGGGGAAAAAATGGAAAAGTATGAGAATGCAGGTGTATACAGCATACGAATTGCAAGGCAACATTCGAAAGAAAGAAAAAAAAAACGTATTCTCTGTAGAATTTCGCGGCTAGAATTTAATATACGATTAGAAACGGAACTTTCAGTGGTAAGCCATGTTGAATGTTAAAGATTATTCAACGTTTAGGCAAACACTGCAGTTGCCGTCATAGGGTTANTCTTGGGGGGGGGGGGGGACAATAATGTTAGTAATATACATATATCTTGCAATGGCCGGTTAGTGGGAGATGAAAGCGTACTCAATGTCTGATGACACTTTGGAAGTAACATGCAAAAGACGAAATTATGCAAGTACAATAAGAAATAAGGTGATTTCAGATTTAAAAGTGAATTGTAGAAAATTCACGGGCTTTATACGCAGTCCTTGCAAAACAACACTTGGGAAACTCTTGAAAATAAATGCAATGGTAATTAAAGAAAATGAAAGAAAAAAAGGGAGAGATACAAGACTATAAAAGTTAAACACTTCTTTTGTGGTGGGTAGATAATGCATAAGAATTATATACATCTGTGTGTGTGTGTGTATGTGTGTGCGTGCGTTTACGTGCGCGTGTGGAGGGGGTGCACGCCGTAGCGCAGTTGGTTGAGGCACTATGCTACAAGCCGGGAAGGTCGCGGGATCGAATCCCGATGAGGTCATTGGATTTTTTTCAGTTTACCTAATCCTTCCAGCCACACTATGGCCCTGAGGTCGACTCAACCTCTAACAGAAATGAGTACCAGAAATATTCTTGGAATATTCTTGAGGGTAAAGCACAGCCCTCGTGTAAGGCTGACAACCTTACCGCCATCTATGAGCCGATTGTCTAGAAAATGTGGAAGTCTCAACATCTCACAACCCTATTGGCCTTCACGGCCTGTTACAGGGATACTTTTACAAAATATGTATGTATATTGATCGCCTCTGTGGTCTGGTGGTCAGAGTTTCTGGCTACAGATCCAGACATCCGGGTTCAATTCCCGGCGCTACCAGATTTTTTGAGAAGTAGTGGGTCTGGAACGGGGTCCACTCAGCCTCGTGAGGATAATTGAGGAGTTATTTCAAGGAAATGACGGCTCCGGTCTAGAAACCCGAAATTAACGGCCGTGGGAATTTTTTTTATAAAAAAAAAGATTGTAAATATAAAGTAATTAGATCTTAACTTAAATCTGGGAGTATACTGTTAATAATCAGTACAATTACTTCTTTTAATTTTCTTAGATATCTCTTTTATATAAATATAGGAATGTTGTTTATGAAGTAACAGACGCCTTGCAGAAATCTTTTTTCTTCTAGCCTTAAGACTTAAGACTGACTTTGGGTATTATTTTTTGCTGTTCTCAGACAAAATATCCATCAATGTTGCCCGTTGGTCCTCGTATAGTTTACAGTCCCAGAAGATATGTTCCTCCGCTTGCAGCCCATCACACATTCGCATTCGGCCGTGGGCACAATGTTAAATCTGTTTAGGCTTGCTTTAACACTGGTGTGTCCCGCTCTCATACGGTTTATTGACACGAAGGCACGGCGGTTCATTTTTATCTGTCGGAACCAGGGAGACGAGCCTTTCCTGTAGCACCTTTCAAAGTAGCTTTCTCCTCTGTCCTGTTGGGTGTTTTGACAAAAACTGTGAAGTTCTTTGCTTTTCTTTATCCATTGCGTTTTAAGATCTGCAACTGGTACTAATAATTAACTATTTCTGCCTTCTGTGATTGCTTACTTTGCCTCCAAGTCAGGACTCTCACTAACTTCAACTCCGCAGTGCCCCGGGATCCAGTAAAATTCGATCTTTCTTTTTTCCTCGGGATTCCAGTCTCTCTATTCTATCTTTAAGCATATGTGTAATGTGCGATGTGTTGCTTATTGTAAAGGAGTTACTAATGCCTTTTAACACGCTTGCCGAGTCCGAGAAAATAACGAAGTGTTGCTCCAAGTCTATTTTTTCCAATGATTTCTAGTGTTTCGGCAACTGCTAGTGTTTCCGCCGTGAATGTGGACGCTATCTTAGACATCCTGAATTTCATGCTACGACCATCTTTTATATCTATCGATGCGAATCCTACGAATGGCTTGTCTTCCATTGTTGAGCCGTCCGTGGCGAAACATTTGCTGGTTCTCATTCTTTCTTGGAAAATCTTTTTGAATTCCTCGTTGTGATCTTTTACTTCCTTTATTTGTCTTCCCTCATCACCCTGGCCTCATAGAAGAGGCTTCCGTATGTGTAGTCGATGGCCGGGGGACAGTTCCCTGATTGGATTAAATGACCGAGAGGGGTTACCTCTTTGTAATATTCGCTGATGAGTGGTTGTTCATTTTCTCCTCTCCCTGGAGGAGAGGCAATCTTATGGACTGACTCAACAGTAACCTTAGGTTGGCTTCGGCAAGACCCGAATAGATGGAAGACCTTCGTAGGCAACCGAGTAACAGAAATACAGACGTACACGACCCTATCACAATGGAGACACTGTCCATGGAAGGATAAGCCAGCTGATATTCTTTCAAGATGGGTTACTGCAGACCAGCTGGAGACATTGGAGATATGCTGGAATGGACCTTCTTGGCTTGTACAACATCTGAAGCACTGGCCCCAGAACATACACACGTTAGACGTCTCACTACCCGAGACTAAAGGATCGACACACTATGTCCTTTCTGTTGAAATCCCACCGACCTTGCTAGACCCTACAAAATACAGCTCCTATTGGAAACTAGTCCGCGTCACCGCCTGGATTTTCCGCTTCAGGCAAATCGCCCTCCGGAGAGAACGACCTTTCGGTCAATTGGTGGCTTCAGAGCTGCGGGCAGCGCAGTTTTATTGGATTCGTTGCACTGACCACGCTTCGCCTTCTATCCGCTAAAGTTGGCACTAACTTCGCCGACAAGCGGCGGTAGCTCGGTCGGTATAGTTCGCTTGCGGACTAAAACCACAGAGTTTGTATTTTGTTTATATATTATAATGTGTGTGACATTGTGTGTGCGTGTGTCGAGGGGGGGTGTGCTTCATTTTTTATAATAGTCTGCACATTTACACATACCAAAGTATTCATCTTCACACTGCATACTCCAACATGAAAAATATTAAATAATACAGAGATATTATATTATCTGACAATATTTTGTGCACTTTTGAAAGCTCATGAAGTTCATTCTGACATTCATGTAAAGGGGGTGCTGGATGTATTCAACCAGTGTAAACCAATGAAATTTGCATAGCAACAAGAAAAATGTTTCGTTGTAGCGGGTACTTTATTATGAAGGCATTAAAATGTTGTTACTGTTACTACAATGTTATACATTAGAACATAATATACCGTAATGGGTACCTATAGGTCTTAACCCCTTTAATTGTTTAGGAAAAATAAGTTGAAGAAAAGAAGGAAGAAAATATAGAAAATATTAATAAAAGTCAAAAGTATTTAAAAATAATTATTCTTCTCTTCTGAATACTTCAGGTTAATTGGTAAAGAATATTAAGCCAATTAAAGGTAATTTTCTGGCTGCCC